TTTAGGAGAAAAGATAAACCTCAACCCCTCAAAAAATATTTTGAGATAGATCATAGTCATGAGGCAAAGGTTAAGACTACAAAGCTAAATGTTGCGTATAAAGGCTAAAACTATAAACCAAGTAAAATATCTCAGTGTGAGGTAGGCAGTATTTCACAGAAGGTATACAGTAAGTACCAACTGTTAAAAAGTAACAAATCTGATAATGCCAACTTTTTATAACTTTCCTACCAAATACTTTGTGAAAAAATGAATGAACAAGCCAACTTTAGAAAAAATATTTACAATGCACATAATTGTCAAATGATTTGTATTCAACAGTTTGTTTGTTTTGGGGGGGGGGTTGGTACTGGAGATCAAACTCCTGTCCTTGCACTTGCGCAGCAGGCGACCAAACCACTGAGCTAAATCCCTGGCAACAGTTTTTTCAACAGTTTTTTTAAAAAAACCCTAAAAGCTTAGATGTGAAGAGATGTTTCATAAGGAATATTATGCAAGTGGTCAGTAAACAAATGGACACCTGGCCGACAGCATTAGGTATCAGGAAGATACAAATTAAAATTAAAATCGCAAAGTGATCCTACTTCCAGATGGACCAGCCCACCCACAGGACAACCAAGTGAAACACACAGCCCGAAGACTGGGGAGCGTGTGGGTCAGCAGCCTCACGGGGCTGGTGGGAATGCAGTGCTACGAAGCCTCTTTGCATATCTGAGGTTTCTTCACAAGCTATATACATAGCCATCAGATAACCAGCAATTCCAACCCTAGGAACTCATCCAAGAGAAATAAAAATGTAGGACACAAAAAGTTTGTAAAATAATGTGAATAGAAGCCTAGCTCACAATACCCCCAAACTAGAAAGAGCCCGTGCGTCCAGCAGCAGGAGAAAGGCGGAGCCACGGGTTCACTCTTGCAGCTGAGTAGGATCGGCACTGGGGACCATCAGCGTGGGCACCAGGAGGGGCTCAGCAACACGACGCTGAGGCGAGAAGCCTGCCACGAGAGGGCGAGGGCTGCCATTCCCCTGACCAGGCGTTGGAGAGCAGCAGAAGTAGCCCAGGGTGAGGACTCAGGTGGAGAGAGGACGATTCCAGGGAATGGGAAGCGGGGACCTTTCCGGGGTGACAGGAGCCCTCGGGATCAGGATGAGGGCGTGAGTTCCGTGGGTTGGCCCCTTCTCCGAATGCCTCAGACTGCACCCTCAGGCCTTGCACTCCCCTGCAGGCAAAGTGAACCTCAATCCCACAGTTGTTTAAAAGTTTACAAATGAAGGTGATGTTTCTGGAGCTGGGCTGGATTTGAGGCTTGTCTCTGCCTCCTTTGCCAGCTGCAGAGAGAGCCGGTGCAGTCACAGGCCCGCCTCGGGGCGCCATGGGGATGGGACGCATGTGTGAGGTCCTCGGGAGGCCCGGGGAAGGAGGGAGCTTCACCCCGTGGGTTTGTCTCCTGCACCGAGCACAGGCAGAATTCACCAGTAAAGAATGCCACCTGGGGAGTCCCAGGGGAATACGAAGGCCACCGCAGCCTGCAGGTGAGTTCCGCTATGCACATGTTCACAACGAGCAAATCTGGCTGCAGGTGACAAGCCCCCAGTAAAGCATTTCATGCCCTCTTCTACTGCGGGGTTTTCCTCCAAGGTAAAGTGGCAGACTTTACAGAATATGCTTCCACGAGTGTTTCATTCATCTGGAGAAAGAGGCCATGGAATTTTACCTGTGCTAGAAATAAAAAATCAACCTCATAGCTACTTTAAATGTTTATTCCCAGGATTCTGGATTATGGTTTTATGGATACATTAAAGGCCAGTTTTACCATATTGATATTTTTATTCACAGTAGGAGAGAGAGAGAAAACAACTGAAAAACCTGTCCCTGTGTTGCATGGTTTAAAGAGGTCAGCCAAGCGATGCCTATGTAAGGAAATAGCTTAGATTATCCCATACCTTACATTATGAAGACCTGGAGAAGGTGGGTCCCCGACCCAGGTGGGCTGTTGTCATGGCTGTGTCTAGATGACCCCCAAGGCCTCGTGGGGTCATAGGTGGGGCTTTGAAGAGGTGGCTGGATCATGGGTGTGTGCTGCTGGGATCAAGGATGAGATGATGGTAGGATGCTAGGGTTAAGGCTGCCCCTCCCTGGGTGTGAGTGCTGTCTGCCCTAGAGTGGGGGCCTGGATAGGATATAAGGCTCACAAAGAGGGTTGCTGCTTGTTGCCTGTTGCTTGTTACTCGCTATCTCTTCACTACTTCACTGTCTTCTGCCCACCATGAGCTGTTTCTCGTCTGTGATGCCCTCTGCCACACCACCCCAGCTTGGTCCCAGCTGAGTATGCACTGAAACCTCTGCAAACTGTGAGCCAAACAAACCTTTTCCTCCTTAACTTTCGGATCTCAGGTATTTGTCTCAGCAACAAGAAAAGTAACTCAGACAACTATGTTCAACCCCTAGGTCTCCTGTGTGGTGAGAGAATCTTAGGAAACGGCTTCACTCATGCCCGTCCTCTTCTGTACAATGTGAGGGAATGGTGCTTAGGCCAGGGTAACACAGACGTGAGGAATTTACGTACGTAAAGAGTTAAAACTAGACTGCCCCGAATAGCTCTGTCAATATTGGTTATTCCTATCATTATGACAAGCAGAACCTCCATCTACTAACAATAATAAACACGGTATAGTACAAGTTACGTAAAAACAGAAATGTCCCACTGAAATAGTACAAAAGTAAGTCTACAGGGCACTTGGAAGATGGAATTGGTAGAGTTAAACACTGAATTCTAGAAAATCTAGAACTGGTTCTTATCATTATATTTCACCAATGCAACTGGAAGACTCAAATACTGTCTAAACCTAAAAAAACTAAATATAGACTCTTTCTTCATAGGGCACACCCATCTCAGTGAGAGCCGAGTGGATGGATGGCTAGTGATCTACAACATCAGAGACTGGGTGCTTCATCTTCAAAAAACTCACAGAAAATAACCGCATTTCCTCTCATAACAGTTCTGTGGGCAAAGTGGAGCAAGCAAGACCTGCTGTCTCCCTGTTCCAGGTGAAAAGAAAGTTTCTACATGAGACGCATACTCAGCCTTGTCTTGACAAGTTATTCTGTTTGTAACAGCACACAGCTCAGCACTGTATAACATACGATCACTGCCGAACCGTTCAGAAATAAGAAGAATGAGGACACCCTGCCACCCACGAAGGACAGTAAAGCAACATGTCTCTCTGCACGTTTTTCAGTTGTTAAAATCATGCCTTATACACATTGTATATCCTGCATTTTAGATGTAATGCTATGCTAAAAGTATTTTCACATTATTATTTTTAAAGAACCTGGACAGAAAAACAGAGAGCTGCTTGGGTAACTGATGGACACTGAAATTTCAAAGCCCTTTCTGTCTGATCATAAGGTCTCATTCAGATTGAGTTCACAGGTGAAATGTCAATTGCTTCTTCATAGCAATATTAAGTGACTAATTAGTAAAGAGCTATTAATAGCAACAGAGTAATTGAATTTTATTTTGTGCTCTATATCTCCATTGGATAATTCTATTAGAATGAAGAATTGCTTTTGAAGAAACTTTTTAAAACATGTAGAGAAATAGAATCTCCGTGTCTAAGACACTAAGAGCCTCACTCGTGAGAATCAAATTGGCTGAAATAATACATATCTCGGGGTAGGTTTGCATGGTGCCTATGGGCGTGGATGGCAGGGATTCCACAAACAGCTGTTGAACTAAGGTGTTTTCCCCTCCGACTCATCCCGCAATACTAATCAAAACCATCGGAAGGACTGATCGGCAGTGAGAAATCCATGAGATGCCTTGAACGCAAATCTCAGGTGCGCTTCCCTCCCCGCAGGGTTCTCACTGCTCCCAGTTCAGTGTCACAGTACCTACATCTTCCTTCAACGAGATCAATGCTCACACCGTGGGAGTGCATCGCAGCACTTTCTTTTTTTCAAAAAAGCTCAACTGGAATTCATAATTTACTCCAACAAATACGGGGCATGAGAGACTGCTCAACACGGACGTGTGCGGCGTGGACAGCATCTGTGTTGCCTCTCGTCCCAAAAGGCTGAGAAGTCATCTCCCTGGCTACTCCCCACGGTTCTGCCTGAGAAATGCAGCCTGCTGGGAGCCGCAGGAGCCGGAGCTGGGAGTTGACCTGAGGCTTAATGGGCAGACTCCACGGCAAAATGTTGGCCAGTCAAACTGCCGGACGGTTTCTGGCTGACAGCTGGGGAGGGCGGGCTCGGCTCCCTGCTGCCAGCCGGGCAATCGCCTTGAGCCGGCGTCACCAGCCCAGGAAAACCACGGTGTCTCCGCCGCCTCTCTGTGGGTAACGGAAGGCTGGAAGCCGATCTGCCTGACCCGCGAGCGCTGCTGCCTGGCAAGGTGCCACCTTCTCCCCGGAAGCACCTGGTGAGGGGGGCGGAGCGGACAGCAGAGGGCTGAGCGTAGCAGGGGGGGACATGGGGGCGCTTGCCTGCCGGTCAGGCTGGGTCGGCAGGGTCTGTCCCCGGCCCAGGGGCCTCTGGGACGGATGGCACTCTCGGGTTACATACACACATACATGCACACATGCACATGTACACACATGCAAACATGCATATGCACGTGTGTACACACATACACACGGATAAGCGTGCTTGTGCAAACACATTCCACCTCACACCAGGGAAACAGGTGACTAGAGGCAAGATGTCTGATGAGGCGCTATTCTAAAATCCAAATATGGTTACTCAGGAGACTGAGGCAGGAGGATTAGAAGTTCAAGCCCACTTTGGGCAATTTAGAGGACTCGGAATGAAATAAAAAGGCTGGGCATGCAGCTCAGGCCTGGAGCACTCACCCGGCACGCATGAGGTCCCAAGTTCCGTCCTCAGTGCCATAGAAGAAGTTTCTGGGCACAAGTACCGAGTTAGAAACCAAATGTTAGGCTTTAAAACCCTGGACAGCTAAAGGTGTGCGTACGCGTGCAAAGCTGGCGAGCTTACCCAGGATAACTCTCCCTGGTGAAGGCTCGGGGCTTCGGGGGGGCGTCCTGGCTACCTGCGACCAGCTCTCCAGGAAGTCTGGTGGCAGCGTTGTGAGTCTGTTGCTCGATAAATCCAGATAGGCGAGGTTCTTCAGATACCTGCCCGCCTCGCTGGGCACACTGGCGATTCGGTTACTGTGCAGGTCCAGGGTCTTCAGGCGGGGCGTGTCGGCCAGCGAGGTCCACGGGAAGGCGGCCAGAGCGTTCCCGCCCAAGCGCAGCTCATGCAGCCCCCTCAGGTTGTAGAAGCTGCTGGGCTCCACACTGGCCAGGGAGTTGTACGCCAGCCACAGGTAGCGGAGCTCCACCAGGTAGTAGAAGGCCTCCGCGGGGACGCTGTGGATGATGGTCTTCTCGATGCGGAGCTTTACTGTGTCCACGGGGATGTTGGTGGGGACTTCATTCATGTCCAGATCGGTACACAGCACTGACCTGGCATCAGACAGCGACACAAAGAGGTGCTTTCAGGACCCACTTGGAAACAGTGTATAACTTTTCATTCTCTTCTTGTCACAAAATATCTGTTTTAAGGCCAGGGATGTAGCTCAGTGGCACAGCACCTGCCTGGCAAGAGCAAGGTCCTGAGTTCAATCCCTGGTACAAAAATATATGTGTGTGTGTGTGTGTGTGTGTGTGTGTGTGTGTATCTGTTCGGTCTGGCTGTCTTGGTTATCAATAATGAGCCACCATCCTCATCCTCATTGTCATCATATTTGTTGTCATGACAGTAGCAATGGTCAGCCTGAGCCATGTGAAATGGCCATAATCGTGGTACAAAAGGACTGAGTAGCGCAGCGTCATGCAGCTCACCTGCTATCTCTGGAGGGCTGTCCAGGCCGGGCTGCCCATCCCTCTGAGGGATCACAGCGGCCGAGGCGGTAGACACTGGGGAACAGGCAAGGGCCCCAGCTCTGCCCTCCACCTGATCTCAGTTCAGATCTAAGCTCTGCCACCTCCTCCGGCCAGGGGAAGCAACTTTCTATCATTTCCGCTATGGCTCCTTTGTGATGATTCCTCACAGCGAGTGTGAAACTGGGCCTGCCTGGCACACACGCACCCCGCAGGAGTTTGCTCTCACAACACCTGCTTTACATCCAAAAGGAACATGGTCCCCGATATTACACCATTTGTCCAGGGTCTCCCAGCCAGCGAGGGCAGGGCTCCCTTTCTGCTCCACTGTTACCCAACCCGAGGGCAATGGCCATGTTAAGAGAATCTTCTGATAAAGTCCCAAATTGACCCTTTTTAAGGGAATCACTTTATTGGGAAAAAAGCAAGCATTCACATTAGATGTTTAAAGTCGAGCTCCGCTTTCACAACATGACCTGCGCATTGCTCTCCAGCTAAGGAGTTAGCCGGAATTGCATTTGCTCCTTCTGCCCCTTGAATGGCCTCGATCGAGCTATGCTGAGATCCTTCTGCTGGTACAGTGAAACAGGCCCGTCCCACGTGTGGGTTGAAATGTGAAGAATCTGAGAATTTGTATTCATTTGAAAACTTCCTATTTATCTCCCATAAGATTCATCTATGTTCCGGAAAATGAACAAAAAACAGTTTTGCAAAACATCATCAGAATTATGACACAATATACATTTAACAAATCATAATGATAAAACAATCACTCAGTAAAAACACATCACATTAAATCCGTTCGTTTTTAAAGCCACCCCACAACATAAACAGAGCAGCAGAGAATTCCAGTGTCCTCGATAGTGTCACCTTCCAGTGTCACCTCCTTCCTATAGTTTTATGAGAAAACATTACGGAACCACGGAAATTCTCTGAAGAGACACCTTAGCGCGTCTTCATCTCTATCTTACATTACAAATTTCAGTACTACTTTGTATCAGAGCAATAGCAGTTTCTGCTCATTAAATAGGCATCTCGCCATGCTACAACAGAAAAGCCAAGATGGGAAGCTAAAGGCCTAGCCTCTTTTTGTACATTAGCCCATATTTGCAGTAAGTAATGTTTCTATTCCCTGTGTGGAGTTAGGGCGTGTGCGTAGCACATGCTCACTCCTTTTCTCATCTCTTTCCCTTCCTTCCTCCCCTCCCTCCATCTCTGGATCCTCTTCCCATTTGAGAAAGAGCTGCTTCCAGTGTCCTATTATCTGCCTCTTATTTTGTCCTTTATTTATACTCTGGGGTTCTCACAGAAGAGAAACTATGTGGTATTTAAGCCTGTGTGTCTGACTTATTTCACGTAACATCATGGTCTCCAGGTGCTTCCATTTTCCTACAAAGGACTCAAGTCTATCCTTCCTTATGACAGAGCAGTGCTCCATTGTGTGTAAACAGCACCTTTAGTTTATCCACTCATCTGCTGGTGGACATATTGATCAACTCAACACTACATCAGCGCACCTCCACGGCCACTGACAAATCACTTCATCTGTGTACAGCCTCATTTCTTCGTCTGTGAAATGACAAGTTTAAACTAGATTATTTCCAGCATTCTTAGCAGGCATAATATTCTCTTATTTTTGTAAAATGGGTCAATAATGAGGCCACCACAGGGAAGGGAGCATTTCTTATTGAAAAGGAAGCACTTCCCTCAAAAGCAACCTGGCCCGGTTATTAACAGCTGCCGATTCCTGGACAGAAAGATCTTTAACTTATTCTGTTCTTTTTACTATCTTTAACTACCCAGGTGAATATCTCAAAAAGATACCAAAAACTGGTTGACTAAAGCTTATAAATAGCCAAACAAATTACTCACAAACAAGCTATCGTTATTATTCCTATCATTATTAATTACCATTACTGGCAGTGCTGGGACTGAACCTGGTGCAGCACACATGCTGAGCAGGAGTTCTTCCACTGAGCTCCTCCCCAGCCCTAATTATTATTATTTGTTTAAAGTTGTGCTATTCTTTTTACTTGAGTCACAAATAATCTGATTTTATTTCTAAAAAATACTCTGGAAAACAAATCAAGGTCTACTGTGTTTAGCTACTAAGAGTTCTGCTTTGCATTCAAATTATATCTAAAAGGAGAAACACATTAAAACAAATTACCACTCTCACTCCGCAGGAAGACGCTAAAGCAACCTGCAGATTAAATCACTCTAAATCCCTACAGAGTCTGCAACCGACCGTATCTATCAGGCATCTTTACTCTGTCAGTTTCACTGGCTAAAATGAGAAGTTCTAAGCAAGGACCTCTCTCCAGCTCTTCTTTCCACCTTCCTTCCTGCCATCCTGCTGTGGACAGGAACAATCCTCCAGCGAGATGGAAATCCCCGACGGCAAGCTATGCGGCACCTCCAGCAACCCCTTCTTGGCCCTGCACTTTCTAGAATCAGCTTCTGAGCTGGCTACACACACACACACACACACACACACACACACGCTCGCGTGGCCAGACCTCTGGAAAGGGCTACCTGTATCCTTGTAAAGACGCTTTCATAACAGAGTGTGCTTGGAAATTTCAAATAATTAGCAAGTCTTGTCCTAGTTAAACTGCTCAGAATGAAAACAATAACTGGACATCTATGGACAATAAGTATTAACACAATTAACCCAAATTAAATTAAATAGACCTCTGTTTTCTGATAGTCAACCAATTTGCTTTCCAAATCAGCCTGACTCTCTCGGGCACTTCTGTGGCAGGAGTAATCAGAGCTCTTAGTAGCAAGGCGAGGCCGTACCTGGATCCTGAGCCATCACTCCTCCCGTCATAATCACAGGAACACTGAGGAGGACACAGAGAACTCGCTCTCCCCAACGCACCAAGCATGATGCACGCACACACAAGCAGGCTCATGGCTCTTCCAGGGACTGCTGCACAAAAGGGAAAACCAAACCCCTCGCATTCAGAAACTGGTGAGCCAGGAACGCAAGCTGTTGTTTAAGCAGCAGATTACAGGGATTAGCTGGGAGCCATAGATACTTAACCTCCAAGTAGGTCTTGCAGGGTTCAATGCACCCAGCCTCTGAGGACAGTGCAGCAAAGGGATTTGTTCTCGGGAGGTGAAAATCAAGCCTGGGGCAACTTCACTAGCTGCACATAGCTAGACCCGCAAAGCAATTCCTACCAAGTCGCTTTCCTGTGGGTACGATGGCCACCACACCCTAAATACACTTAATGTTCAGGGGAATTCAGGGGCTCAGGCAGGAGCTAGGAAATTTGTCTTGGTAGCGTATTTACATGTGCTTTACACATTTTATTTTTTTGCATTTGCTTCTATCAACGTGTTTGACATTCGCTTTTACAAGATTTAGTTTTAAAGATCAAAGCACGACACGAAATTGGTTTAGACTGGAGTTATCAGTGTTGCTTCGTACTAGTTATCTCCAGAAGCAAAGTGAACCAAGTCCAGGCCATGGGTTTTTAGGACGAAGTCTTCGTCCACCCAGGCCAGGGCTGTAGCTCGGGTGGGGAGGTCTCCCCGCCCCTTGCCCAGTGTGTGAGTTCTCCAGCATGTGCGATGTTCATGCAGGCAATGATCTCTGCTACAGAACATGCTTACTCCACACTAGTTTCGCAAGTTTGGGGCACCACAGCCATATTTGAAGACCCACTGTCATATCTGTTAGCAACATTAGGTTCTAACAGGAAATAAAAATCCAATTTACTTATTATAAAATTACCTCTATACACAAAAATTGAGAATCCTCAGCAACAATCCAGGTTTCACGCTACACACACCTATCCGCCATCTTTAAACAAAAACAGTGGAAAAAGAAAATCAATTCTATGAAAATAAGAAGATTACAGGAAATATTTCTGAAAACTAATAGCATTCGTATAGAAACAAAAGAATCTAAAAACGTTTGTTCATTTAAAACCCGGGAGCTTTTCTGATTCTGGACAATTCATGCGTTCATCAGATATTTACTGAGTACTTACTCCACAGCAAGCTCTGAATTAAGCACAGAGAAACACGGAAGAGCCAGGCAGGGCCACCACACGTGAGGAGCTCACGTGATAAAGAGGCAGCGTGCAGCCTGGGCGTGACTCTCACACCTGTAAGCCCAGCGCTCCGGAGGTTGAGGCAGGAGGATTGCAAATTTGAGCACAGGCAAGGCAGGTTAAGCAACTAAGCAAGACTTCAACTCAAAATAAAAATGGGCTGAGGCTGTAGCTCAGTCTTGGGTTCAATCCACAGCACTGGGTGGGGGGAGAAAGAGAGAGCCAGCAGAGAAGGGAAGGAAGAGAAAAGAGGCAAAGAGCACATCACTCCCAGCCCGCGCTGGCCGGCCAAGACTCCTGTGGCGGGCGCTCCCTGAGCCGCCTGCCTGTTACAGGACGCATGCTACTGTATTATGAGAAATTCAGGGGAGAGGTACTGAAAGCAGAGCACAGAGCACGCACAAAGGGAGGCAAGGAGAAATGGAGTGCTCTTCCCAGAGAACCACACCTTCTGCAGCTCGGGCCTAAGATTTTGAGGCAGGAAGTTGAAAAGCGGGGAGACACAAAGCTGCAGAGGTAAGGAGGGCGAGGCTATGGAGGGGCCTTGGGTTTCCTGCTAAAGCGCTGTTGCAGTTTCTGTCTAGCTGCCCCCCAAAGCCCCATGAGCTCGTGGTGGGAACCTGGGGAGGTGACCGGGTCCACTGGATTCCACCACTGAGTGTTTGTAGCTGAATGTGATGTGGGGAGGCAAAGCCTGCTCAGGGGCGTGGGGCACAGGGCGAGGCCTGGAAGAGACAAAGTACTCAGCACCCACAAGTTAAAGGAGGAGAGGTTTATTCAGCTCAGTGCGTAGAGGTCTCAGTCCACGGCTGGCTGGCTCCAAGGCAGGGCAGCACAGCAGAGGGGCCCCGCAGGCAGGAAGCAGCGGGACTTCCTTCTGTCCCTTTTTATCCCATCCAGGCTACAAGGCTGTTGGTTGGGGTGCAGCTTCCCTCTTAAGTAATCCATCATCCACACCCAGACCCAAGCCAAACCAGTCAGTGGACTAACCTAGCAGCACACACCAAGGATCAGTCACTCCCAAGGTTTCCTTCCTGAGTGTAGGAGGCTTTGAGCGGACATCTAGATACAAGTCTACCTCCCCGCCTTGGGCAGGTGACTATGGGCTGAAACCTCTGCAGACCTGAGCCACAATACACCTGTCCTCCACAGAGTTGTGGGTGTCAGGTACTGTGTGCCAGGGATGAGGAAGTGACTGGGACAAGCACCTACACTCATCCTGTTAGGCCCGGGGGTGGCACATCAGACCGTCCTGTCAGGCCCACAGGAAAACAATGCCTATGCTAAAGTGCTGCCAGTTGTGCCTCTGTGAAAGGAAAACTTGGAAGCAATTTAAGATGTCAACTATTTAACAGTGGTATATTGTGCTAGGTCTAATGGTCATTGAAAATGACAATTGTGTGAGTCTATACATTCATTCAACATTCAACAAGTATTTATTGAATGCCTACTATATGCCAGGCAGAATGTGCTATTTACAAATACTAACTATGTGATCTATTGCCCATGTGCTAAGAATATAAGAGAAAATAAACACACAAAAGTCCCTACTCTGATTAAACTAAATTTTAGTGGTGGCTTAGATACTTTTCTCTCGATGCTGAGACAAAATACCGACATACAGAATTAAAGGGGGAGAGGGTTATTTAGCTCACAGTTTGTAAAGGTTTCAGTTCACAGCCGGCCGGCTCCAAGGCAGGGCGGCCTGGCGGAGGGGCACTGCGGAGGAGAGACAGTTCGTGGTGGGCAGATGGCAGCAAAGCAACAAGGAAACTTAACGGCCTCTTCCTGTCGCTTTTATCTCATTGAGACAACTTAGGGCGGCAGCACTCATGCCCTTAGCCCTAGTGTCCTCAGGCCTAGCGCTGCACCACGAATCCATCACACACTCCTGATTCAGCCACCTCGGAAAAAGCCCCGCCTTTGACTGCACGAGGCCCTGGGGGCACATCTAGACACAAGCCAAATATTTGCAAATACATGTACAGAAAAATGGAGTTGAAATCACAGAATACATAGCAAAACTCAGAGACCACATATATATACCTATATAAGACATAGGTATTCATTGACATAATTTAAAAGTAATAATGTTTAATGTTCATTTGATTAGTTTTTGATAAACAGTTAATAATTGGGTATAAATTTTAAATTTTTGAAATGCTAAAAATAGTTTTTACTCTAGATGGGAACATCTGGCAATTAATTTCTGTGATTATTTTTGGAAGATTATTATTAATTTATTCTAAGAATAAACAGGCACTGTTTCTAGTCTAATGAAGACTCCAGGCAAGCTATGGATCATCGATACAGTACAATGTGTGCCATGATGAAAAGGAAGAAAGGGGACCTTAATCTCACCCACCTAGATTCACCAAAGGAAATGAGCAACAAGTTTACATATAAGAAGAGAAGGAAGCGTCACAGCCAGCCAGGGTACCAACACAAGAACTGTGAGCTGCACAGGATGAACTTATAGTTTAATAGCACAGTAATTTACATCTACACTCAGTCTAAATAGGTTCATATTTAAAATAAAGTTAAAGTACTGGAAAAAACCACTGCACACACAAAAAATGTTTGGATAGTGTGTGCTTTTCTCTCACTTCAGATTCACCCAGAAGCCAATGGGCTTTGAGATGCACCCATTGGTAAAGCGCTTGTCTCAGGCATTGCTTGGTGAGTCTGACATCTGAACATGGTACACATCGCCCTCCGAAACCTGCCACAAAAGAAGAGAGGTCTAGCATTATCTCACCATGGCATGGAACCGTGAAAGCATTTACAAACACCCCACTGTCCACTGACATCTCCAAATAAATTTTGCCTCCGCTTCGACCATCCACTGCTGAGGACCGCTAAGAACACGTGGGTTATATGCATGGTACAGTTGAAGACCAACTTTGCACATTGGTTATTCACACTGAAGACATTTAATAAAACCCATAATTATGTATTTTAAAATGATGTCAAGTCAAGTACGGGAGTGATTTTTTTCTGAACTAGGGAGCAGGTTCACCCATGTGTCCTGAGCAAACATCCATTGTTGACCTTGAGGGCTTGAGAATGCCCGACCTTTCCAGAGGAACTTCCAGCAAACTCTGAATTTCAAATGTGTCCTTTATTCTAATATGTGACATTTGGTCTTAAAAGTTGTTGTGTTCCTTCGCATACCTGCATCTAAAGCTGCTCTCCTAAGCGTGTACATAAATACACACCTAACAGAACCAGTTCTGGCATTTCTTTTTCTTTTCTTTTTTTTTTTTTTAGTACCAGGGATCGAACTCGGGTCCTTGCGCTTGCAGGGCAGGTGGCAGAACCTCTGAGCTACCCATTCCTGGCATTTCAGATTGAACTCCTGGTCTCTACTGAGACCTCCTGGTCAAGGGAGAACAGTGCACTGCTCCATCTCCCAGCAGGACAGGAAATGAAGCAGTCTAGACCTCACTGAGGAGTCAGGACCAGCACTTCCCCGAGAGTCCTGCAGAAGGTGGCGGGGGCTTCTCCGTCATCCTGAGTGATGCCCACTCCTGAACCCTTTATTTAGCACTGGATTATTCTTTTGTGTTTGAACATCTGTTTGGTAAATGCGCAGCTGTGCCACCTACTAAGATGGCCCCACATTCCGGTGCCCGTTGTCTGGTGATAGAATCACTCATTTATTTGGAAGCCACTTTCCATGCACTGGGGGTGGGTGACCCTTGGGACTGAGCTGACCAAGGGCTCTTCTGCCAGAGAGCCTCCTGGGGTGCCGGGCTGGTAGAAGCCGGTTCTTGGGTTGCCCGAGATCTTCTTGGCCACCGCGTGGGAAGTTTGTCACAGAGCTGGAGCTCTGGGCATTTAAGGTCCTGCATGATGCTCTGGTTAGCTGATCCAAAGAACCTGGCACCAGCTGGAGTGTGCTTCTGTCTCTTGCCTCTTAATAAGTCTTAGAACATCATGCACTTAGAATATTCTTTCTGTGTCATTTTTTTAAAAAGCATTTTAGATATTACTTACTTTTTATTAGCAATAACATAAATACAAGGGTTGTAGAATGTGGAAGATTTTGCAAACAGTGGGGCTATGATGGCCATGGAGGGGGGAATCTTCTTCGGGTCACCAAAAGAAGCCCATAAGCACACGATGGAATAAGGGGACCAGGCCACCAGAAACATCAGGATCATTACCACGGACATCTGGAAAAGAAACGCATTTGCCAGGCCCAGCATCTAGAATATTTAAACACTGAGTAGAGCTAAGGTAGCATAAAATTATCTAGATTGGAGTTTGAGTGAGTGTAGGTTATGACATGAAGAAAATGGTGGAGTTTTGCCTTTACTGCTTTGTTTAGGAGCCTAAAATCATCTAGGATAACAGGAGCCTGGCAGTGGGTGTGGTGAGCAGTATGTGCTGTTAAGAATGTTTTACACAGGTAAAAAAGTCTCTTTCTCTCTCTCTCCCTCCTTCCCTCCCTCTCTCTTTCTCTGTCTCCATAAGTGATAATCTTAAAAAGCGCTTTCTAAATTCAATCTGGAAATAAAGTTCTATTTTGAGATCAGTGAATTTTAACCACAGGCCATTTGAACTGAATATATTTTACATACAATACAGATAATTTTGCATCTTGTTTGAATGGGGAAATAATTATTTTCTCCCTCCTGACACTCCACTACAATGATGAAAAAGAATTTAAAAAGACATAAACCCGCAAGTACAGAGAACCACAGATTAGACAATAGCTTGCTTCTTAATGCAAATAATAACTTCTGGACAAATGGTGAATTACTTATTAGACCTGAGAAGGATTAAAAAATACATAAGAAAATGTTGAAAATAGCCAGCAGTGAGGGAACCCAAGTACAGACTAGCCCTTTTTACAGAACTCCAGAAGTCTAAGAACGGAAGGTACCAGATGGCTCTGGACAGCGGCAGGAAGGGGCTGCACGTGGAACTCAAAGAGAGAGAATTGGTTGAAATCTGCAAAAAGAAGCAATTAGACTCCAAACCCCCTCCCTAGGTCCCAACTCCACCAGTGATGGCTCCTTCCTCTCCTGGAATCAGAATCCTGGAGGCTCAGTATCACGGCTAAGGCAGGGATGCTCAGAATCCAGGGAACTGGGCTCAGGCACTGCCCTGTCCTGAAAAGGGGGGTACCTGCCACTGCCCCTCCTCACACTCACAGGGCCAGGAAAGACTAGATAAAATATCTGATGATACAGCGAGAAATCCCCAAAAAGAAATGACCAGGTAATGAACACCTCTTCGTTGACAACCAGCTTTTCAGAGCTTCCCTCCTAAATCTACGGGGACAGTTGTTCACCAGCAGACACTGAGGAAATGCTCGCGTTGACAGGCAGAGGAAAAGCAGTGCAGGAACTCCATGCACCCCCAAAATATGCAGGGAACAGGAGGAAAATATAAATATATACATAATAGCACAGAAATAAGGATATAGGTCCATAAAACAAGAAGAAAACATTAAAAAGTTGGATACTGTACAAAATAACCCTTCTATCTATAAAAGTGGTTTTATCCCGGGAGGAGAAGTGTTGAAATGTAATAAAAAGGCTGAATGATATTGTCAGGGACAATGAGGGACAGGCTTGGGGCAAGGAGTTCTCTAAGTGCATGGTCAGATCTTGTCTTCCATCAAAATTTTATATTTTGTTCAACTTGAGTTTTACACAAATTTTGATTTCTTAAATCACTGTATTAAACTCCTTTTTATTATTAAATGTTCTGGTGCTCATTTAAATTTGTATTCAATTTAGGCTTCATTGTCTCTACCCTCAACAGAGCCCTGGATGTGGTTATGGAAATCTTCCAGAAACTAGAAACAAAAAGGAACGAACAAGAACAGTCACAAAATGAACAAAAAGAGAGACAGCATAGTAGAGAAAAACAGAAGATAAAGTCAAAAAATTAAATATCAAGTTAAAAGATTTCCAGGGAAAGGAAACAGAGGGAAGAAATCACTAGAGAAATAATACAAGAATGCTTCCAAAAGAGGAAGACGTGAGTCTCCACAATGAATGTGCAAGGCAGGTACCCAGCACTGGGTGACCCAACCATGCACACCAGCATGAAAGTTAGAAGACTGGAGACCTGTAGAAGATCTTCTAAGCTTCCAGGAGGAACTCACAGATCACTATGAAGGATCAGGCACCAGGTGCCAAGACCTTTGCAGCAGCTGTGCTGGGAGCTAAGGGGTGATAGAGAACAATCCCTTCAAAAATTTCTGAATGCTCTTTTGGTCCCCAGAATTCTAGACCAGGCAGACAATCAATCAAACACAATAGTAGAATACAGACATTTTACTTATGTAAAATCTTAACAATTTTATATCCTTTGGAATATCAGGAATCTGCTGGAGAATGTGATCCACTAAATCAGAGGAAATAAACAACAACAACAAAAAAAGCAGACAAGCAAGCAGAAAAGAGATGATGTTATTGTGCGAAGGAACAAAAAGCATCTGCAGCTGCTGCTGAAGGGGGAGGCAGGGATGGTGGCTTTCTGCATGGCAATCAGAGAGCAGACTCTGGGGGACTCTGAGGGGGACGCTGTAGGAAGAGGACACGGGGATCCTGTCTATGATGCATTTGAACCTAGGGAGAAGAGTGAGAAAGCCCCTTATCTAACCAAATACTGTTAACCTGCTGACTGTCAGGATGGAACATATGGGCGTGCAGTGAGGCGGGTTGGCGGCATGAAAGAGATGAATCTTCATTGCCTATAGTAGAAAGTCCAGTGATGATAAAACCAGAGATATCCAAACAGTAGACAAACATCTACTATAACTGGAAATATGGAGGCAAACACCAGCGGAAGGAGCTGGGGGGTGAACACTGGGATGGGGGAAAGGAGACCGGGGCAGAGCCTACCTGGGACTCTTTCAACTAGGCATTGATCTAAAAGCTTGATTACAAAACCTTTTCAAGGGTTTTGCCTTCTCACCTTTGTTACATCCACCTGATCTGACCAGTCTCTGTTGGGAAACGTGGGGCAGTTACCAGTCGCATGATGTTTAATGGACCAAGTGACATGAAAGTAGCAGTAGAACATCACCGCCAAGGGCCCAGTGAAATTTACAGCAATCACTGTCATCGTGTAAGACACAAAAGACCTGAAATAAGGAAAGGCAAACACGACTACTCATGTAATGTCCCAAGTGGAGGAAGGAAAAAGAAGAGATGATTATTGCAAATAACACTGAGAGTTATTTTATTATTAAAATGTTAGGAATTCTATTTAGCTTTGAGTTCACTTAGACCAGGGGGTGGTAAACTATGGCCTGTGGGTCAGCCCCCATCAGCCAGCTGCCTGTATTCAAACACAGCCCTGCACGTTCATTTACATGCTGTCCAGGCTGCTCTCACAGTGATGGCAGAGCTGAATGCTCTCATTTCCCTTCATGAACCAAATTATCCTCATCTCCCTAGAAAGTACAGATGAGCATCACTGTCTCACAGGTAACTTCTCGCAGTCACTGCTCTTTCACTGTGTGGTTCTCAGAGTGGTCCAGGCCTTCCCCAGAGGGGTCTGTTCTCTACTGACCCCCTTCCTACTCATGATGCTGGCTCCCAGATGTGTGGGTTTTGGAAGGGCGATTGACATCTAGAGAGGACAGAGAAGGAAGGAGGGACAGAGTAAGAAGGACAAACAGAGCTGGATGATGTTGACTCCAGACAAGCACAATTCCCACATTGTCTCCTGCTTGAATCACATCATTAGGACCAAAGAAGCTTTGCCACACTCTATGAGAACTGGGATCCGAGCTTAAATACGGAGCTGGGGAAAAGTGTACAGTAGCACCGGGTGATTATAAAGGGTCGGGGTGTGTCTCACACATCGTTTTTCCTCCAGTTTATGGTACAGGTAGCTCCGGTAGGATCTGGGGCATAACTAGCCCATCCTACGATGGGCATCAAAGCCCAAAACAGGCCATTGATCCAGGCCCCCAGAATCATGCTGACGTAACTGGTAGAGGTCAGTCTTCTTCCTATGAAAAAGAACGTGGAATATTGGCATAGTTAGCAATGATGGCATTTTGTTTTAACTGATGATTCAAAGTTGTCATCAAGTACATTCTTTATAGGCTACTTTAGTTCATTCAAAGCCTATGTACATGAATTCACTTTCTGAAAACATAAATGACATTTAGGCTGGAACTTGAGTGATAAATAAGGTCAGCCAGAGGATAAACCAGGAGAGCAGCTTTCCAGGCCAAGGAAAACAGCGTTTGCAAGGGCTTCAGAGTGGGAAAGGAGATGGCCAGTACCCCGAAGAGAGAGTGGCCTTCGTCCAAGCTGGACAGGTAGCCAGGGCCAGATCATGCAGGGCCTTTCAGGCTGCCATGTGCAATTTAATTTTATTTCAAGTCTAATAGGAACCTACTGAAACGTTTGCATAAGGATTGCCAAAAAATAAAACTGACCCTGATTACAAACCATATGTTCATATTTTGAAGAGAATGTATGTTGAGTGCCATTAGGCAGTAAGTGGCTTTATGGGGAAAACCAAGAAAGGTGCTGTACCTATGTCAGGTCGGCAGATGGTCAGGTAGCGATCCACAGCTATGACCGTGAGCAGCCCAATGCTTGCCATTCCAAAAAAGATGTTCAACCCAGCATAAACCTAGAAATCAGAATGGGAAAGAATCCATAATTTTAAAGACCCTCCTAAAAGCATCTAAATTTTTGTCTCATTGTTAGAATATATTTCAAATATATTAAAGTTTTTATGTTACTATTTTAAAATACAACTTCCATTGTCAAATTGTATCTGGTTTAATAAAAGCACCTGTGGAAAGTGTTTTCAGATTTTATTAAATTTTTTAAATTTCAAGACTTAAAATTTCTGTATAACATATTCTACAAACAAAGTGCAAAATGAGCCATAAATTAGGGTAAAATGCAAATAACCAACAAAAGAGTATTCTCTAATATTCCAAAGAGGTAGTTTAACAAGAGTAAAAGATAAACTCAATAGAAAGATAAACTCAATCGAAAAATAGACAAATGATGAATGGGCTATTCATATAATTTACATTTAACATATAATTTTACATTTGAATGTTGATGACATAAGATACACAACCATTGTAAGTACTCAAAGAAATAAAAATTATATCATTTCATACTTATAAAAATTATGAAAATTTAAAAGTCTAATCATCCCAAGTGTTAGAGATGATATGGGGTAATGGAAATTCTCATAACTGGAATAAGCATTTTGGAGGGCACCCTAGCCATATCTAATTAAATTGAAGACAAATATTCTCTGCTACCCAACCCTCCCCCCAGGCAACACATTTAGGGAAATCCTGATATTGTAGAGCTCTCCACGCATAAGAATATTTATTGAAGCCTCTTCTGTGAAAGAAAGAAAATAAAAACTAGGAACAAATGCTCAGTAACAGGAAAATGAAAAAGTATATGGGGCTTTATTCAGACAATTAAACAGAATATTAAAATAATTGACTTATCAGCCCCATCCATCCCATGGATAAATCTCAAAAATATAATAACTAACACTGAAAGAAAACTGTGTAATATCAGCAGTATGATACCATCTACACACAATTTTAAATATTTGGACAACATCTGGCTTGTGCATATAATATATGTGATAAGAAAAACATTCATGGGAGGAAAGGGAATATGATTGGCCATGACATTTTCTATCTTAAAAGAAAAACAACCACAGATTGAAAAGTTTAAAGATTTGACAAAACCGGTCGGTGCATAGATAGGCATTGAGTGTTTTTTGTTACTCTGAATTTATTCTTTATAATTTTATGGCCTATAGTAGTAAACTGTTAAAAAATAGACCAACTGTCATATTTGCCTACTACCCTCATGTAAATCAATATTAATTCATTCCCTCATTAATAAAAATAACAGTAAGTATATTTAATAACAATTCTCATGTGGGACTTTCTAAGAAGAATATCAACAGCTACATTCCTTACATGTGACTGTCACCAATATTTTATTGTTTGAAATGAAAGGCAGTTTTTAAATTTTTTACTTTATGTAAATTTTATTTGAATATGCAGATCACCTACTTTTTAGTTGAATGCTGGTTGTTTGCTTTTTCCTTTGGGTTGGGGGAATTTTGAAAGCATAATGGTGATTAGTGATTTTATTTCTCTTTTTAAAGAATGTATCCTCCCTCACTTGTGCAGTGTCATATCTATCATCCTACAATATCTTATTTGATGTGAGTTCTTGGGATTTTAAAAGACATTTAAATTTACACCTCCTTGTTCTACTTTATTTTGCTTTTATTCCAAAGCTCTCCAGTACCTGACAGCCCGGATATCCAAATTTCCAACTTCCATGCAGATATGAAGCAGCAGACATGGGGTAACCAATGCTACTGACCCCTATGTCCGTCAAAGCCAGGTTCATGATAATTGCATTCGTGGGTGTCCGAAGTTCCTTGTACTTAACAAAGATGCCCAGGACGATTATGTTGCTGAGAATACTTATCAGACCTGAGAACACGGACAAAGATGTCATGCGTTTAATGTCATTTGTTTAATTTGAATGCTTGAAAGTAGAATCACAATTAAATATTTAAGCCCCTTCAAAAATGTGTCAAATACATTTTAGTTCACTTGTTTGAAGAGTTTCTCCTGTTTTAAACCTGTCTGTATCATCTTCATAGCTCTTGTGTGAGATAGAAGCAAAAAATTTAAATGGAAGGAATCTGCTGGTTGCATAAGCCAGCATGGAAGGCTGCTGTGAAGGCCATCACTGTTGACCCCCATGCCTGGAATTCCTCCCTGGCTTTCATGTCATTCCAGGAGACTTTTAGGATCGGGGTACAACCAACCATGCCCTCACTCTGGGTAGTTTAGATTCCTCTTTGCCGAAGCCTGAAGCTTTTGCTTCTCCTCTGGTTTCCCTTCTCAAGCTTCGCCTCTCATTCTGTTTTAACAGCACTTTGCTCGCCATCTCTAGCCCTGACATCGGGCCCGGTTTCACAATTTATCCTTCTTCAACTCACTGCCATCACACATTTATTAAGTGTCTGTCCTGTGTAAGAGCATGTGACTGTTTCAGTATTTTCAGATCCATGTCAACACGTCTGAATCTGAATTCTTCATCCAACACACACCCTTAGATGAGAAGGCTCACTGCGAGATTGGACTGTCCAGCCGGCTTCCTGGCCCATGGGGTGCTAGATGCCACCCTGCTCACGTTTCCACACTGCAGTCTGACTTAGCCTTGCGGTTCAGAGTCAGTGTTGCCCGGGAGTTGGTTGGACTCAGGGAGAGTGATATCTACACTTCTTAACCAGAATGTCAATGGATTAGTTTACAATGAGAAAGACTGTCTAGTGACTGGATGTGCATGTCAATCAGGTCAAAATCTCCTGAATGCTGCAAAGGATGCAGAAGTTTTCCATAATCCATCCTAGGTCCTATTGGTGAGGGTGGGGCAGGAATGGATTTCAGCAGAGAGGTTCGAACCATTACTGTACTCCTAGTGACAAAGGGATGTGCCTCGGACAGGAACAGAGTTGGGCTCCCCAGGAAGAGGACTACAGAGAGAGGGCAGGTTCGCAAACACCAAAACACAAAAGCATCGGCTAAGTGAGAACCTCTACTACATCTCAGCACTTCTTCCAGCTCAGCATCCTGCTCCATTCATCTCCCGGTTCCTGTTCTTCTCTCCATGCTCCTCCCCATGAGCTTGTATAGAGAATTAACTGTGGATCTGCCCAAAACGTCTGCTCTCCCCACCTGTGGGATGAAACCCAAATGTTCCACCCCGGCTCTTTGTCTCGGTCTGTTGTCACCTTCTGTAGGCTCCACACTTGTCACACAAGCCCTCCATTCTAGTTATCCACCAAGTGCACCACCCTTGTTGTGTATCTTGACTCACAGATTTCCCACTTGAAATCCCACACCTTTCCTCTCCACGTCCAAAGCCAGCTGTCTATCAAAGCGCAGTGCGAGACCCCCAGCCCCAAAGCCTTCTCCCCGCAGTACTGGGCACTCTCCTCCTAAGCGCCCTGAACTTTATTATAGTATAATTCACCTTCAGTGATGCTGCATTACTTAACTCTTACATATTCCACTTCTCATGTAGATTTTAGCCTCCTAATAATTCAAAGGACTGTATGTCCTTTCAATATGTGACAGGTATCAAATTTATTTAATAAATGGATCATCACTAAAACTCAGAATTAAGCTTAATTGTTATTATTCTTCAAACACAACACCAATGACAGCAAAGTTGATGTTCTTTGGCCTTATGTTTAGCATCTAATACTGTAGGCTGTGTACAAGAAATACTGACAAAAATGAAAAAAATTTTCTGGGCTAGCTATAAATCTGATGATTTTAAAAGTCAGATAAAAAACACCGAGTAGTAAATTGCTGCCTTCCAAGTACACAATCCGAATAGTAAAAGATGTTGATAGAAGTTGGGGCGGGGGGGAGTCTAGTGGGGGTGTTGCACAAAAACTTTACCCTTTATTCTCTCCGTATTCTCTCGGTAGCTGTCTGACACATTCTCTGTCCCGTCGTAGGTGTCATCTGTCGTTAGATGGACATCACTTACCAGTTAGCTCTTAGTTGCCTCTTCTCTGAGTCAGTCTAATTCTAAGCAGCACTTGGCATTAACCCCACTCCTTCTCGGGAAATATTTCCTCGTGGCTTGTGTGGCTGCCCTCTGATCTCAGTGGCAGAGCCTTCTTAAGGTCCTTGACCTTTCTTTCTTTAACTCTACCTTATTAAACATGTGTACTGTCCAACTTGCGGCCCTAGGTCCTTTCTTTTCTCGCTGAACACTTTTCTGAATGATCTCTTGATATCCAAGATGGGTGGCGCAAGCTCAAGGCCTTGCCCAGGCTGTTACTGGCTATGTGTAACTGAGCACAGAGGTTTCCCCGCCCCAAACCTTGCCTTCCCCGGTGAGTTCCTGTCGGTGAGCAGCACTGCCCTCCACACACCAGCCCCGAAAGCGTTGATGCGCTCTCCTCCCACCCTCACATCTAGGCCTCTGCTCCTCCTCCTGGCTCCTTAGGGAGCCTGCTCCCCGCTGTCCTGCACAGGACCCTCCCTCCTCACCGTTCCAGCGGTGCTCTCCCGCGGGGTCTCATTCTCCCTCTCTCTCCCTCTCATTTCATTTTATGATTCTTCCATAATAACTTCAGATTTTCAAATTGACCATCGCCTATTCCTTCTCACCATAAGTGAAAAGTTCAAGAGGAAAGCAGGAGGAGACACTGGAGAAAAGGATGGGGTCGAACGGGTGGTGGGAAGGCTAAGGGAGGGTTAAGGGGACAAACTGTTCCGTACGTCTATGAAAATGCCACAGTGAAAGCAACCTTCTGTGTAATTAATATTCATTAATAAATAAAATTAACAGTTAACAACCTAAATAGGCCTTTGGTAAATGTAACAAGTGAAATGAATGTTTTGATTGTCTGTTCCTCAAAGTTTCGATTTTGATGTGCGAGTTTAAGTGGGTTTTGTTAAACTAGGAAAATCGGGGGATCTGAAGAACAGTAGAATCTAGAATCAGAGTTCCTCAGCTCAAATCCAGCAGCAGCTACTTAGTAGAGGTGTGTGTTGGGCATGTTTCTTAACAGGAAATAAAATTTAAAAGTAACTCACTGAATTCATGTAAGGATGAATTATTCTGTACTTTTCAGGATTTAGAACAATGCTTGGTATATAGTAAGAATTCAAAAGATAATTTTAGTAGTGGTAGCAATGTTATTATGTCCATTATAGGGATGAGAACCAGATGGAACATTTTCATGGAAAATTTTCTTTTCATGCTACTCTTGTAGATCAATTTTGGATAGCTCTTCTAGGTCATCTATAAAAAATTAGCTAAACCCACGATATTACATACAAAGCATTTCTATGTAAGTCTAATGAGACTGTCTCATTTTTTGCAACCAAACAATTAAAAAGAAAATGGAACTTGTGCAGTACTTACCATACAGAAGTATTCAAATGAACAAGTTAACATATTATTAAAATTAGCTGAGAGGGCCAGGGATTTAGCTCAGTGGTTCCGCTGCCTGCCTCAAAAGCACAAGGACCCAAGTTTGATCCCAGTACCAAAAAAAAAAAAAAATTTAGCTGAGGAACTTCACAATTTCTAGCGAAAGAAGTAGTAACTCTAACTGTGAACTATGAGGAAAAAATATGATTATAAAGAAAAAAAAGATTCGTTATACTTTTCACTCCACTTTGGAACATGTTTGAAATCTTTCATAAAAGGTAAATTAGAAATAATGAACCAAATACAAGAGTTACATCTAAAACTTGTTACTAACCATAAAGTTGGAAATAAACCAATTGCTTAGTATGTTATACCACAATTAAGCCGATACATTAAAAAAGGTAATCAAAGCACTCTGTCATTTTAGCGGCAAAGCGGCCTGTACCAGAAGTACAGTCGCCGGAGCTGGCTGGTTCATTCCTGCATGGAACCCTTTCCGCTCCTCTCCGCAGTCTGCTGGGCAGCTTATTCTAGAGAACAGAAAGGAGAAGGGACCGCTCGCAATGTCACAGGTACTAAAAGACAAAAACCAAGGCCCAAGAGTTTCTGGAAGGAGCTGAATGTTCAAGCTGCCCTCGGTGACAGCACTACGCTCTGCTCCTTCGGGGACTTTAATTCAGAACCACTCAGTCTTTAGCTGGATCCCACCACCAAGAAACAAAACTATGAAAATTACGTATGAGAAAAGCAAACGATATGAAAATACACCTTTGCCGTGGTACACACTCCCCCCTCCCCAAGGTTGGACAATGTAATAATCAAGCATATGGTTGGCTTTTATTAAAAATAAAAAGATTTCATTGTATAAAAAGATTTCACAGCCCCACGTCAGTGCACGCAGGTTCTTCAGCACCCATCAGGACAGTGATTGCCATCAGCAATGCACTTACTCTCTCACCCACGCACTCTTCTTTGCTGTCCGGAACGCGGGTGGCCAGTCCTACTCACCACCCCATGCGGGCCCTGCAGCCTCTGCTGAAGACCCCGCTTCCTCCCTAACTGGGCAGGGTGAAGGCCGCACCTGCCAGAAGGAGCCACGCTGCCACAATGCTGTGTTCCATCCGCGAAAAGACAGAGCCGTCCTCACTTTTAGAGTCTGAACCATTACCGAAACTATTCCTCAGCATTTTGGAGGGGCACTATTGAGGCAGCCTTCGTAACAAGCCTTCGATGATTAGGAACTGTTTTAAGAACCAATCTTTTCCACTCAGAGACCCCAAAGAATGGCCTTTTCATAGAGGCCCTGCCTTAGGTCTAATTGGGCCAAAGGAGAGGATATTAATTCCCGGAGCGAGGGAAAAGCTTATTAGCAAAACAAAGAAATACCGAGGACCACATTTTCTCCAGCTTGGGCACCGTCTGGCGTGCAAGCAGCTTACCACACACACGCTGCTTCAGCAATAACCGAGCCCAGAGTCGGGTGCAGGCTCTGAACCGACTGATTTCTGCCTGGAGTTAAGAACCAAACTTAGTCCACTCGGTTTAGACCAAGGATCCTGCTTTCTGTTGGCTTTGTAGCTTTTCCACTGCAGTTCCCTTTTTTCTTAATTAACTTAATATGGAGATAGAGCAGTACTTCCCCATACTTCCCAGTCTCACCAACACCAATGTAACTGCTTTTCATTGCTTATACAAACGTATATTCAAACAAGAGGTCGAGGTTTTTACTAATATCTCTATATTTCATACTACAGTATGGATATACCATGATCTACTCCACTGTCTACCTGTTCATTTACTCTACATTTTGATATGCACACAAGCAATTGATCTAATGCTAGTAAACTTATCAGCCAAGTATCTGCATTTAGTCATTCATTCATCTTATAAAGTACACAGTATTGTAATATTCTGGATGACCATGTGGTAACCTGGAAAGTGGGTTACAAGTAATATACACATGTAGTTAGAATAACAATGTACCTTCATACTCTTTTTTCCATTTGTGCTATGTATGTGACATCATTCAAATCCGATTCTTCTTAAACATCTTAAAAGCAGTAAATCTTAAGGGAAAAGCTTAGACACACCAAATAGTCTGAGCTCCTAGTCTGAGCACCTAGCAGAACCACTAGATGGCTGTATTTGTCCACCGAGTTAGGTTAATTTTACAACTTTAAATGTTGCAGGAGCCCCACATAACCCTTTGGCCCCAGCTCTCCCAACTCAATATAGAGTCAAGATGAACATGCTAACTGATCTGTCCCCAAATCCTAGAGCTACCAGAACTATTTTTTTGTTTTCAGGACTCAAATTTTTATGAAGTAAAACTGAAGAGTACCTATGCCAGGGAAGTGAATCTCATCAGTATTCCACTGCATAAAACTGTTCTCAGTAGCTCTGAAGCAATCAGCATAGGAATTCTCTCTCAAAGGCCTATGGGTTGTTAGGTTTCACATCTTTTTTTTTTTTTCACTATGCAAAATAAAAAAATCCAAAATTTTAAAAATTTGCTTTGCTACTATGATAAAAACAGCATGGTACTGGCAAAGAAACAGACCTGAGGATCAGTGGACTAGATTAGGAGATGCAGAAACAACTGCAGACATACTCAGCCACCTCATCTTTGACAAAGAAGCCAACCACCCTCACTGGAGGAAAGATAGCCTATTTGATAAACGGTGTTGGAAAAACTGGATTTCAACCTGCCAAAGATTAAAATGAGACCCATACCTATCACCATGCACTAAACTAAGATCAAAGTGGATTAAAGATCTAAATATGAAGACAGAAACACTAAACTTGCTGGAAGATAAGTTAGGTAGAACTCTTGAAGACATCGGCATAGGAAAAGACTTTCTGAACAAAACCTCAGTAGCACGGGAACTAGCACAAATAATCAACAACTGGGATCTCATCTTATTACAAAGCTTCTGCACTGCAAGCAAAACCACCAACAGAGCTAAGAGACAGCCTACAATGTGGGAAAAAAATTTTTAGCAACTGTATCTCAGACAAAGGACTACTATCTAGAATATATAAAGAACTGAAAAAAATCAGACCCCCCAAATTCAAAGACCCATTTCAAAAATGGGCATCTGAAATGAGCAGACATTTCTCAGACAAAGAAGTAAAACCAGCAAATAAACATATGACAAAATGTTCAACATCACTGGTCATTCAAGAGATGCAGATAAAAACAACACTGAGATTCCACCTCAGCCCACAAAGAATGGCTGCTATCATGAAACCATCCAATAACAAATGCTGGCGGGGGTGTGGGGAGAAAGGAACCCTTCTCCATTGTTGCTGAGAGTGCAGACTGGTGCAACCACTGTGGAAATCAGTATGGAGACACCTCAAAGTACTAGGACAAGAGGTCCCATTTGACCCAGCTATCCCCCTGCTGGGGATCTTCCCCAAAGAATTAAAAGAATCACACCACAGAGACATATGCGCACCCATGTTTATAGCGGCACAGTTTGTAATAGCTAAAGCTTGGAAACAGCCCAAGTCCCCATCAACTGGAGACTGGATAAAGAAGATGTGGTTTTTTTATAAAACGGAGTACTACTCAGTCATAAAGAATGAGAAACTAGAGACATCTATAGCTAAATGGATGCATATTGAGGCCATACTCTTAAGTGAAATAAATAGGACACATGTGTACATACCAAAGTTTCTCTAGTGTGAGAAACTGAAAGTGTAAATAAGGATTAAAATGATTAAAACAAATAATTCATAATTTGAAACAGGAAAAGGTCCAAAGGTGTACGGGTGGTGAGAGGGGAAGGGGAAAGGCAAGATGGGAAAGGAAAAATTATGAGAAAAGAAAAAAAATGGAAATGAAATCTATGTAAATAAGGAAGGGTGGAGGGGTGAAGGGCGCACAGGTAATGGGGAAAAAATAAGAACCAAGATACATCATGTTCAGGTACAAACACCCAATGATAAATGTAAACATATTGTATACCTAAAATGCACCAATTAATGAATTTAAGGAAAAAAAAATTTGCTTTGGTTCATACTCCCTTTTCTGTAATAGATTATACCTAGTTTTAACAACCATTCTCAACTTTCCAAAAATAATTAGTTCTACTTACAAGAATTGAAAAAAATAAAAAGAATCCCAAAGGTGCTACAGATGAAGCTTAGAGACACAACCGTGGATTCAAGTACTTCACCAGTGACACAAGAGCCACAGTACTAGGAAATATAGCTATAAACATCACACACCTCCCAACTCTTAGACTTCATACCTTTCCTATGCCAGCCTCATATCAGCCCTCCCTTCCCAAGAGCAGAGAAGCCAGAAAATACATATGTATCCCATTAAACTAGTTCATCACCACAGCATCAAGTATATTTTAACCATGTATGTAATCAGGAAGGGATTAACTCAGAAAGTAAAAAATGTGACCGTCAAACTTTTACAATGAAACTCAAGGATCATTACCACACTAACCTCATCAACTTAGGTTCATAGATAGTGAACTTGATTCCAAATGAAATGCCCAAACCTAGAAGTACACAACAAAGGGAAAAATATTTGGAATTATAATAAAACACTTGAAAATGGCCAACGGGCTTCACTTCGGGTAAAGATGATGTCTCCAAGTGGTTTGTCTACTTATCTATATATTTTAGATGTGTCTGATGCTAAATAAAACTAATAACTTGCACAATGTCATTCCCTGTCTAGGGCTAGCACCACTGACAAACCAAGAGTAAAAACCTTGGCCCTAATACTGAAAATTGCACCCCAAGGATTCTTAATCAAAGAGATATCTTTCTTAAGCTGTAAAAGCACAACCATCTCTTCCCATGAGAAAGTAATTTCCAACACACTTATTCATCATATACATTTATGGCCTATAGTTGTTAATCTTGCAATTCCACTAATGTGAAAGGTTAAAACTTAAAATAGCAACGTATGCAAGATTATATGCTATACAAATGAGCACTGAAGAGTTAATCACTCATGCCAGGAAATTTAACAGAAAATTCTGAGAAATAGCAAACAAAAAAAAAGTTGGTAAATGGTCCCTTATCACAGTATTCTCATTTACCATCATGGTTATTTTTTGACACTACACTAGCAATGATAACCTAACCCAATTTCATTTGTGACAACCCTATCTAGGAATCTGAACATGGACTAGGCCATCAAAATTTGCTTAGGGCGAATCATCCCTTAAATCTTTATTTTAAAAAATTAGAAATCAGTTGAACTTTCAATAACGTATGGTGCACGAGAAAAAATTTCTTCAGGAATTTCTTGAACTATACGTAGTTCACCCTTGAATAGAACTACTCAAATTTTAATAATTCATTAATCATTTTATATCAATTAATTCCAATTAGAGAAACTGCATTACTCTATGTACTAAAACACAAAAGGGCACTAAAGGTCTCACATACAAAAGGTAAACATTTTGAAAGGGATGTTAATTTATAAATAATTTTACACCTCCACCAGCCTGTTCTTGAAATATAGCAGTAATACATGTAAACAACTCCTTTTTTCTGTCTGTAATTCACTAGGTTTAAGTGTTAGCTTTTCCTCCCAATTTCAAAAATAGGTTTGGCTTAATAAGTACACTCTGAATAACTTAAAGGAATAAAACATTTTATTTTAAAAATTGAAACATGATTCCAGTGACAGCTCCTGCCGAGTATTAAGCACCCACAGGGTGCCAGGCACGGTATGGAGCATCAGCCTTGTTCATGCTCTTTCAGAGCAAAAGTGACTTTTCTGCGGTAATCGAGCTTGCATGATGTTGCTGCTTCAGCCCCAGGGTCGCCAGCACCAAATTCGGGATCTGCAGTTCCAGGACACCACGGAAGCAGACCCGCAGTTAAAGCAGAAGTCAGCTGGAGAGGTCTGTCGCATCTAATGTCCTCTCCCTGATCGAGAGAAAATTAATGGTTAGAAAGAAGAGAAAAGGGATCTACAAGATCACTATTACCCAAACTGGGTTTAAGATCAGCATTAGCTCCGTAAGATTCAGTAAACTGACCTTGCAAATTTAACTGTTATTCATATGCAGCATTTTTATTTTTCAAGTTAGTAATATAGCAAAAGTTAAAAGGTGAAAAAATCAAAAGGGAAAAGCAAGAGTCATGTAAATTAAAGCTATAAATTAGGCTAAAGCAAAGCACAGTGTTCTATATACTTGCTGGCAGGGAGAAATGAACATAAAAGAGAACTGGCAGACAAACACTTCTCACGAACATGCAGTCATTTAAAGACATTTTTCTCAAACCTCGGAATCCACCACCTCCTCTTCCTCCTCTGAAGCCTCCACCTCCTCTTCCACCTCTAAATCCACCTAAAAAGGAAATACTGACTAAGTAACTGCAGCCTCTCACACCCTGATAAGCCTATAAAGACAATGCTATTCCTGTAAAGAATATAGGTTCATTTATATTATCTTACAGAGATTTTAAAAGATAAAAAGGAAGAAACTGTAGCAGTTTCCAATTGGGCAGGAGGATAAAACTCCAGGTTACCGCCTTTAAAAAAGTATTCCCTTTTGATGAATGAGAAAGCGATGCAGTCCTGTTCTTGGATGTCTGATTGATTACCTTGGCTTTTCTGAAGGTAAACACTTTTAATTGAACCAAGGTTCATTTTGATGGGACCGAGGCTTTTGATCCCAAGAACAAGGTGGCACATGTGAGTGGCTTCCGTAAGTCTTCCTGAGCCGCACATGAACACAGCTGAGCTCGTGAGCTGATGGGCCTTGATTTTTTTACGGGTCCCTATAGCATACCACAGTATGCTGCCCAGCCGGGTCGTTGGTAGCTCAGGGGCACATTTCTGACGGACAGTACTTTCAGTTTTGGTCGGTTTCTGGGTCGTCAACCCCATCACAAGCTGAGAAGCACTCGTATTGCTAACTGTTCCCGGCACACATCAGACTCATGGGTTTTCATTCTGGGCCACCCAGGACTGTCTGATTGTGTCTGATTATGGTGAATTAACTTCTGTGCAACTGCGATTCCTTACACCTAAAATAAGGATCTCACCTAACTCGAATTCTTGCTGGAATTGAAAAAAACGGATAGTAAGAGACTATAAGGCCAGCTCTTAGCATACAATCCATACTCAATGACAGCTAATGAAGAAACTGCAATTCAGCCGGGATAATCTTCAGATAGTCATGTAGTGCATAATGCTCTGGCCAATGCGGGACCTGTAAAGATGGCAGGCGAGCAGGCGACCTCACAGAAGTGTAACACTGGGACCTTCATCTCCTATCAACACTGCAGAGCACCGCATCTCTCTTGAGCTGGCGTGGACATGCCTGCTGCAACGCCAGCAATAAAAGTGTAACATACAATTCTGCACAGCTCATGGCCCTCGATAATGGTATAATCAACTAGTTACCAGTTTCTGTACTTAATTCTTAATTCTGTAAAAATTCTGTTATTTTAGTGTACTCTTTCTACTTCATGTAAGCACACTCTAGGACAATCACACAACAATGCAATCGACTGATGAGGCATTGCTCAGAAAGATCTGTCATTAGGTGATGAATCACTATACTTTTAAAAACTCCCCAATATAACTCAAGAGCTGAAATCCCTCAAAAATATACTTTGCTAGACCCTTTTCATATTAGTGGAATAAAGTGTGATTACTATAGGCAGTGCACCATAGTGCATAGTAAAGCTGAAAGCAGCTTTACTAAAAATATATATACAAATATAAAGTTTCTCTACACACAAAAGCAAGCTGCACGCCATGAATCAGCGGTGGCTCTGCAATCTCACTGAGTCTCCCCGGTAACTCACCTCCTCTCCCGCCACCTCGGCCGCCTCCGCCTCGGCCCGCTCCTCGGCCTCCCCGGCCACCACCTCGTGGAGGTCCTTTCTCACCTGGCGGCCGAGGTAAAAACCTCTGCAGTGGGAGCAGCTTGTAAGGATCTATGTAAAACTGGAGTTCACAGAAGCAGTCAGTGATGGCACAGGGGCAACACAGTGTCACCAAGACCCTGGGGCTCGGATCCCACCCTACCACGTCTCCCTGCATCTCTGAGCAAAGGCTTCCTTGTTTAGACGTTGTTATTTTTTATCTGTAAAATGTAGATAATATTTAAAGTATCCACCTCACACATGGCTATAAAAGGATAAAAATGCAATGTACATGAAGCACTGTTCAATCCCATTTTTCTTTAGAAACAGATGCCTCCTAAAAATGTTAGTTTCACTCAACACCCATAAGAAAAATGCAACTTCCAAAAATGTAGCATTAGGCTGGGGATTTAGCTCAGTGGTTCCACCGCCTGCCTCACAAGCACAAGGTCCTGAGTTTGATCCAGGTATGAAAAACAAACAACCAAAAATGTAGTATTAAAATTCAAAAGAAAGTATTAGCCTACCAGGTACTTCAAGACTGTAATAAAGGCTCAAAGTCATATTTCCTAAACATACTAAGTAACAGGTGATATAGAGAAACCATCTTATTCCGAGGGTTAAAGAGGACATCCTGCAGATAATGACATGTAAGGAGATACGCCAAAGTTTCTCAGTTCTACACAACACACAAACCTGGGCTTCTATCTTCCTTTCCATACGACACCTCAGTCCTCCTCGTCCCCTTGCAGCCTGTCATCTCAAACATACTGTCTCCAACTCCACTGTCCAGCTGGGCAGCCACAGGAGCCATCCACACTGGGAGTGAACACCGAGACTAAAAGTGAAGGTGGGAGGGGCCCTGGTGCTCTTAGGTGCCCTTTCCTCTGGCCCAGTCCGTCTGCCTCGTGTTCTCTCCCCACACCGACACTTCCTGATGTCACCTCAGCCCACACCCTGCCTCTGAACTCAAGTACCTTAAACACTCCGCCTCCAAAGCCCCGTCAGCACCTCCCCAGCCCCACTCTCTCCAGTGCTGGGCATCACACAAAACGATCCCACCACCCACAAAGGGGCTGAAATCAGACACCAGAAACACGGCGATTATTTTTCAGTTCTACAACCTCGGTAGCGGGTCAATTACCAAGTCCCACTGGTTCTGATTCCTATGTGGCTCAGAAACCCATTCACACTTCATCTCCATGGCCTCTGCCTTAAGCCCAAATACCACCTCTTCTCAGATGATGCAAGCAGCTCTCCCAGCCCTCCACGCAGTACTGACCCCTGTCCAATGTGCTCCTCTTTTCCCACAGTGCCCTTTAAAGCATAAACAGAACTACATTATCCTACCCTTCAAAGCAAAGTTAAAGCTGCAGCTCAGGCACTTTCGCATGCCCGAAAGCAAGCATGAGGTAACCAGGCTCCTGCCTACTCACAGGCCTTCGCTCACAGCTCTCCCCGCTGCCTGCCCACATGTCCTATGCCAAGCTGCACCTCTTCCTTCCGCGGAGCCCTAAGGCACTTGCTGTCCCCAGCACTGCACATGTTGCTTTCTCTGCTCGGAATGAACGCACCTCTTTCTCTCTTTGGCGAGCCCCAAAGTTCCCAAGTGGCTTTTTTTAAATTAAGGTTTTTCCTTTTTGAAACTGAATCCTGGGGCCTGCTTAAGAGCAACAGGGTCAACTTTACAGGAATGGAACCTAAAAAGGCGTCTTCCCAAAACCTTCCAGCAGAGCCATCCTGGTCAACTCTAGGTCTTGGCCTCAAGGACGCTGCCTCAGGGAAGCCTACATATTAAATCTGGGCCCACCATCAAGGCTCTCACAGCGACCCATGTCCCCTCCACAGCACGTATCACGATGAAATACTCATGAAATCCTTTAGTACCACCTTCTCTCACAGAACGTTTTATAATGTAATGTTTTTGCGTACTTGCTAATGCAAGTTTTCAATAAGAATTTTAAATAAGCTCAATGTTTATAATACAAAAATCTCACTTTAAGAACTTCACTAGTGCCAGGCATGATGGTGCACAGTTGTAATCCCAGCTCTGAGGGAGGCTAAGGCAGGAGGATCATAAGTTTGAGGCCAGCCTGGGCAACTTAGCGAGACTCTGTCTCTCAAAATAAAAAACAAGGGGCTGGGGATTTAGCTCAGTGGTTCCGCCGCCTGCCTCGAAAGCGCAAGGTCCCGAGTTCGATCCCTGGTACCAAAAACAAAATAAAAAACAAAAAGGGATGGGGATGTAGCTCAGTGTGAAGAAGCTGGGGTCAACTCCAGTACTGGGTGACAGGGAGGCTTTACTAATGAAATACAGGGGGCTCAAGTACCCCACATAGGACTGCCCTAAGGTACGCCATTCCCTTATGACACTCAAGACCTTAAGAATCAAGCTTGACTCACCTTCTGTAGTTTTTTAAAGGAAGATGCCTTCATGTTTTCTGACAATTTAACTGAAAAATACTATCGATTTTGTTAAGGAACAAAAACGAAATTAGAATGAAAGAAATTAAGCCTCCTGAATCCATATATAATTTCTGAAACAAGCTTGGAATATACAGGCATATATAGGAAAGGTAACACACAAGTCCCCAGGAAGAAATGTGTTCTCCAAAAAAACAAAACAGATTACAGAGCTGGGGATTTAGCTCAGTGGTGCTGCGCCTGCCTGGCAAGCACAACGTCCTGAGTTCAATCTCAGGTACCAAAAAAACCAAAACCTTTCCAAATCTTCCATACCAACCCAGCGGCACAGTCATACCTAATGCAACCAACTCAACCCTGTGGCGCTTATGCAAACGACCATGATTTCTAGGTCTTTCCCAAAAGAAAGGCATCTTTCTGGGGCTTATTATTTCAATGAGATGGGGAATACATTCTCCCCTCGTAATGCTCCTTATGATCCACTCTGTAGCAGTGTTATCTTCTTTAATGAGGCAAGAAGTTTAATTTATACTTAATTGGCATGGTGGGGGGACAGTAAATTCTCAATGAATTTACTAGGTCATCCAATTATAAAGGATACAAAGTCTCTAAGTTGTCCAAATATTTCATCCACTTTTCCAATTTGCTCTTTGTTTTCTAAGTAAACTGGAGCGTTGAAATAAGGCACCTTATTTTCATCTGTGGTGCATTTACAAACTATGTCATCTTCACAGGGATGCATGAACTCTCCTAATACTGAAATAAGACAAGAAAAGATTAAAACATGCGACTACTTCAGGTAATATTAACCAACCTCTCTGGAAGCTTTTTTCTTAGCTACCTTGGGTTTCACTGTGTCTGTTCTCTGAGGTAGAAAAGTATAGCTACCAGCAGTGTGGGCTTCCTGAGCTATCAGGTGACCTAACAACACTCTAGCCATGAAGGTACTCACCCTCCCCTGCTTTCCTTTCCTGAATAATACAGGAACCGAATCTGCATTTATGCATATAAAACGTGTAAGTAATATCCACCTAACATGGGACTAAGGGGAGGGAGTACCAGGTAGGAGGCTGAGACCATTCAACCTGTGAGTTACCCTATTATGACGATTACAATTTCACTACACAGCACATTTCATTCTCTTTGATTTTTCCTTTTCTCCAGGCCCTAACGTGAATCACTCTTTGTACTTGACGTTCCCCCGCTCATTCCTTAGAACTTGTCCCTACTACTGCCTCCTTACAAATGATTCCTTAATCTTTTTCAGGGAAGTCCAGAATCCCAAAATAACTTTTACTAAACTATTCAATGCATGCCTGCAAAACTCACTCTCCATCTGCACTCAAGTTCAAAACCCAGAGCACTTTATTCCCAGTATCAGATAAATGCTATTTTGTTTCCTCTGCAATCTCTCCTACCTAAGCCTTCCGCTTCTTCTCACGACCCCATCCTAAGTCAAGCCCTCGCTGTCTCTTGCATAAATTGCTAGAACGGCTTTTGGTCTGGGGCCTCTGACTTGAGCTAATGCCTCCCTTCGACCCTCCTGCGTACTGATCACCTATTCTTAGACATTTTTCCTTTATGACCCTGACAAAGAACCTTAACTCTGAATCTCGGTTTTCTCACCTGTCAAATGGGGTAAGCACCCAATGTTGCCTATTTAATCTCATCCTTTCAGCTCAACCTCAAGTTCCACCTCCATTATGCATTTTCAGTATCCTCCAGCTTTCTTGATCTCCTTTAGGCTACGGTACGACCGCAGGTCAGTGTGGAGCCCGCTGCAGACAGCCTGCACGGCCCCTGCAGCACCTAACTGCTGAGAACCCCAGCCCGTCTCTCTGCGGAGGCAGAGCTCCGAAGGCGACATACAGACTACGTGCTCCGGAGGTCCTTGGTCCTGGCCCCTGTTGAAGCCTCCGCGGCCTCCTCCTCGTCCAAACCCGCCTCTGCCGCCGCCTCGGAAGCCGCCGCCGCCTCGGAAGTGGTTGCTGCTGCCGCTGCCGCCACGGTTGAAGCCGCCGCCCCGATTAAAGCCTCCACGACCTCCGCCTCGAAACGACATCCCTGGGCCTGGCTCAGCACCCTGAAAGGGGTCGGTGATGGGAGCTCCCTCGCCGCCTCGCCCACTGGCGGGGCCGCACCCGCGGGGAAGCGCGCTGCCCCCCGCCTCGCTGCCCGCGGCGGGCGGCCGGGCCTTCGCACAGCATCCCCTCCTCCGTCCCTTTTCCCCGCTTCCCGCAGCCCAGCCCCGCGCTCGGCATCCTCGGGTCCTCCGCTTCAGTGACCACTCACCGGCGCCACGTGCGCCGCCGCCGCTCCGCGCGCACCCTCTCGGGCACTTCCGCCGCACTAACCTCGCCGGCCACCGTACAGGGACAGAGGGTTCTTTTTTGTTTTAATGATTACAAACTCGAATAACTGGTTTGCCAAAGAACCAGTCACTGGCGGATGCAGCGACAGGAGCCCCTTTCTAAGCAGCCGTCAGCACCGGAAAAAAACCCTAAAAATATCTAACTTCACTAGTTTACAACAATGAGCGCAACCTCGCCAGGAAGGCGCGCTGAAGTGACGTAACGACGTCCCTTGCACATGACGTTTACGGAAGCGTTGTGCGGTGTTGCCCCTGGAGACCGCAGGCGTCTGAGACCCGGCTCCTCTCCCTGGAGTGGGGCGTGCTGTTGGTTGCCTTGCGGTGGCTCTTGTGCTAGGTGCCCACTTGGCGGGGCTTTCTCGCTTCCCAGGCTGCGAAATGGTGCCCGCCCTCGCTCAAGAGTTCTGCGCCCACAAGAGTGAGGCCGCCTCCGTGAGGCCTAGCCAGAGAGAGCCTGTCGCGGCCGGCCGAGGGCAGTGTCCGCACTCTGTCCAGCTCCTTGTTTTTTCCACCGATCTTTTCAGCAACGCGCCTTGCGGTCCAAATTGTACCTGTCTGTCTTGTGGTCCCGATAGTTAAGGTGGAAAAAAACCAATGCATTTATGTGTGTGTTTAAAGAAATGGTGTTATCTGATAGAAAGCCAAGCCATGTTAATCTTGTGCCGGATAGTTTATTCCTTCAGGTGCGTTCTGAGCACCCGCAGCAGTGTATCAGTCTATGCTGGACGCTCCTCCCCCTTCTTAATCCTTGGATATCTGACATCAGCTTGTCCCACAGCCACCAAAACTCTAATAAGGGCAGTGACCTTCATTTATTACATTTCGTTCACCTCTTTCATACCCGAAGGCTCTGAGACGCTACCTTGAAATATGACCCAGTCTACCGCCTCTGAAAGAAGATAGATATTGGCAGCTTCTTTCAGAAAGTCCTCGTAAATGGAATTTCGAAAGACTTCTGTAAACTTTACTAGGACAATACTAGGAATTCATATATGTCGTCTACACTAAAATGTGAGGTTTCCCCAGGAGTACCTAACAGCTCTATATAATAGGAATTTGGTAAATACATTTTAATTCGAATTTGGTAAATCTACCTTAAATTCTGTACATCTTTCAGGGGTAGAATTTTCCATAATCGCCCCTCTGCTTTGGATTGTCATTTACAGTAACATTAAGTTAATTGTTTCGGTCTTGACTTAGTGCCCCACTCTTAGTTCCAACTCAGTCTGATAAAACTATTGAACCTGTATGAGACCTTCAAGATCACCTGTTACCTGAGGAGGGGAAGAAGGATTGAAGGGAGGAGTGGGAAATGGGAAAAAAGAATTAAGACATATTACGTATAGGTACAGATTCCCTATGATGAATGCGATCCTTATGTATGGCAAATATGTACTAATAAAAATATTTTTAATCACCTGTTACCTGACTGCTGTATTTTACAAGTAAAGAACTGACACTTAGAAAAGGGAAGTCAGTTCCCCAGCTAGTTAGAAAGGCAAACTCGAACTCTGGATCCTCACAATCCTCAGTCCTTTTTGCCACCCTCTCTAGGACCCTTCCTCTTTCCGAATTGTTCATCTTTCCAACTCTCCATTTGTCCTCATGGTAGCATCACACTTTAATTTCTAATCTTTGAACTCAGACTTTTGAGCACTTTCCTCCTTTCTTATCATTTTTATCACCATCCCTACCCCAGCCAAAGTTAGCAATTTCTACTTCTTCTAAAGTAACTGTGTACACTCTCCAACCAATTACAGACCTTTTGTCCCTGCCACAGTTCCTTGTCTTATTCCTACACTATCACACTGTATAATCTACAAGAATTCAATTGTCCAGAAATAACAGTAAACTACAAAATCTTGCATTCTGGGCATTTTTGTTATTATTTCAGACCAAACACTTTCTGACCTAACGTCCTTTTCCCTTCTGTACTGCAATGATGGCATAATGAGCTTCCTGAAGTCATTTTCTACCATCCCCATCCTCAGGACCCCAGGTAGCTCCTCTTTCCCTTAGCGTCCTGTCTAGCGTAACATCTCTCCATCTGTTAAGCATTCTGTGTAATTTTATCCCCCTCCTGTGTGGTACACCACCCCCTGCCCCACCAGCCCAGCGTCATTGCCTGCTTCTCTTTCTCTGCTTTGGAAAACAGTTCCTTCTGCTTGGAGAAGCTCCAGCCACCGGTCCAAGTCTTTTCAATCATTTTACTCAGGAAATAATAATTGTCCTGTCACCAGAGCCTCTGCATTGAAATTACACACACACACAAGCACGATGAGCAAATTTTGAATATAATGATCTAATAATATTGTCAGTGTTTTGTTTTAAGACAGGATCTCACTGTGTTGCCCAAGCAGGTCTTGAACTTGTGGGCTCAAGTGATCCCCCCACCTCAGCCTTGTCACCATTAAGCCCATCTCAATGCTCTTCCCGTCAACATCAAATTTGCCATCTTCATTATTTTTAAAGCTATAGGTCAGGGTATTCAGTACATTTACATTGTTGTGCTACTTGTGCTATTTTGGAATCGAAAATTATGCTTTTCTGTTCATCTGGTTTTGGGTGTATGGGGTGGGGCGAGTCATGGGGATTGAACCCAGGGCCTCGCACATGCCAAGTAAGAACACTATCACTGAACCACGTTCCCAGCCCTTTTAAAAAATTATGTTTCCAGACAAGGTCTTGCTAAGTTGCCCAGGTTGGCCTCAAACTTGAAATCCTCCTGCCTCAGCTTCCCAAGTAGCTGAGACTACAGACGTGCACCACCATGCCTAGCTCTTGTTTTATTTTTTAATTTTTTTGTTCAATTTATTTGTCTACTTTTTGTAGGCTAATAACATTAACTCACAAAGAAAAAAATACTAACTCTTAAAGAATATCAACTCCAATACAAATAGGGACTTCAACTTTTCCTTTAAATCTAGTAAATACTGCTGTTTGTAATAAATGTTGATTTCCTTTTATAGGCCTAGATATGCATAAAATCATTGACCTATTTATAGTGGACTAATTGAGATAATTATCTTTTGTGTATATTCACTCAATTCTGATTTGAGCCTGAAATTAGCACACACAGATTTTATTTTCAACTGAATTGCTATGGCTTCTGCCTTGCTGTTAATGCTCAAAGAAGTTGAAAGGCAGGGCAAAATGATTATTCCTTTCTGATGAGTAGCAGGGTACTTTTCTTTCACAGAAATTCAGAACATATGGAAAGGCAAATCGGTACATTTTACCAGGTGTTCACAGACACAAACTCACCCAACTCTTCCTTCCCTCAAAGTCAGGCGCTCAGGCTGAGGAGGTTCCAGGACAGGGCCTTCATCTGGGCCTATAAATTGTGTCAAAGAAGGAAAATTTGGTTCAACTTTTTCCTGCACCTCTTCAAGTGGTTTTCAGTAAGATTTTGAGACTTCCTTGCAAATGCAGGCAGCAGAGGAAACATCACGAGATTTCTTTTTGCCATATGACTTTTCCAAAGACTCAGTTTGTATTTGAACTCTAGAATCTTATCACTGAGTCCAAATGTTTTTCTCTTTTTCTTTTTTCTTTTGGTACCGGGGATCGAACTCGGGACTTCCCACTTGCAAGGCAGGTGGTGGAACCACTGAGCTAAATCCGCGGCCCTCCAAATGTTTTTCTTAGTGCCTTGAAGTTGCTTTCTCAACTTGTTCACATAATGAAAAATGTCCGTAAGTAGTCTAGCTTCACCAGCCAGTCTCCGTCTTCAAACCATTGAGTAAAATCTGCCTGTTTTCTGAGAAACACTCCTACAAGTCACTTTTCTGCTCAACATCCTGTTAAGAACTTAAATCTGTGTGAAGTTTCTTTTCCTGTGCAGTAAATTATCCCAACAGTTGGTGGTTGGAAACAGCAAACATTGTCTTGTGTGATTTCTATAGGTCAGAAATTCAGGAGTGTTTAGCTGGGAAGTTCTGGCTCAGGATTTCTCATAAAGTTGTAGTCAAGATGTCAGTCCCAGCACACTGGGAGGCCAAGGCAGGAGGATCACAAGTTCGAACCCAGCCTGGGCAATTTAGTGACTTACCTGGACCCTGTGTCTAAGTTTAAAGGGGAGGGAGCTCAGTGTGAAGGTCTGGATCAATTTCTGGTACTGAAAAAAAACCAGATGTCAACCAAAAGTGCAACCACCCAAAGTCTTCACTGGGCCTGGGGACCCTTTGCTGTGTATGTGTGCTGAGGTCCCCTGAGGCCTAAGGCAGGGGACCCCAGGTCTGTGCTCTGCAAGCCTTCTTCATGAAGCGCCTGAATGTTTATATGGCACGACAGCTGGCTGCTCCCCAGAACAAATACTTGCTAAGCTGTAAGATTCATGCATGCAGCAGGAGATGGTCACACAGTTTATTTAAAAACGTTCTTGGGTGAACTGGCCTGTGTGTGACGAGGTTAGCCATTTTTATAATGTCATCCAGAATTCTTGATTTCAACTCCAAAATCATCTGACACCAGCACTTCTCTGGGAAGAAAGCAATGTGTTGTAAACACACTAGAATTTTCTTTTTCACAAGGGATGAAACCAATCAGGGAATGTCATGGGTGGGCCATTACCAGGACAGATCAATACTCCGAGACATACCTTTTCCTGCCAATATAAAGACAGCATTAAATACGTCTTTACCTTTCCTTATTTGGGGCAAGGTTTCACAGCAGGAAAGTTTTCTTGAATTTCATCATGGTTTATGAGGCTTACAAACGCTGCCGTTATCCAGGTCTATGACTCATCACCCTCGGTAGGAAGTTATTGGGGGATCTGATCTGTTGAGCATTCAGTGTCATCAGTCACATCAATTTACCTCACTCCAACAGTGGAGCCTTTCTACTTTTCCCTATTGCATCATGTTCTGGCATTCCACTCTTTACAGTCCTACACGGTAGACCTGCGAGGCTTCCACTAACCATGGGGCTCTTTCCTTTTTTGGTCAAAAAGTTTTACTACTAGATAACTTGCTCTCTGGACCTTTTTCTTAAAGGTGACTCAAAACTAATTTATTCTGCGTTCCAATTCAAAAGTATCTGCTCCTTCACTATGATTTGTAGTTAAGTGCTTTTTCAGTTTTTCTGGAGCCATGCCTGCATTTATAATTTGGAATTCTTCCCTACTATTTTTCATTCTTTGTCACAATCACTGAGGCTTAGAATTCTCTTCTGTTTCCCACTTTGGCTTCAGAATT